TCGGTTGCGTAACGCTGTGTGGAAGCTACCTGGTCTGTCGCTCCGCACGAAGCTTCAGGTCTTCTCGGCCACGGTCATTCCCTCCCTTCTCTACGCTTGCGAAACGTGGACCCCCCTGGTGGAGCATCTTCGCCGGTTGGAAACATTTAGGCTGGCCTGCCTACGATCCATCCTGGGTTTAACCAGGCTGGATTGTGTGAGGAGCTCACAAATCCTTGAAAGATCTGGGCAAAGTCCCATCAGTGAGCTCCTCCGGCAGGCAAGGCTGCGTTGGCTGGGTCATGTAGCCCGCATGCCCAGCCACCGCATGCCTAAACAGCTTTTGTTCGGCCGGATCGAGGGGGCTAGACTGGGCGCGGCACGGGCTGGAGAAGAGATGGAGTGATGTGGTACAGGAGGACGTGGAGCTGAGTGGACTTGCCGATGACTGGTACCAGCGGTGTCAAGATCGGCCTCAGTGGAGGAGGCTCGTGAAGGACGCTACTGGGCAGTTGGAGGCAGTCGCCCTCCAACAACAACGGAGGGCGGAGGAGCGACGCTCACAACAACGAGCGGAGCGCCGGGTGGCTAAAGCACAGCAAGTTGGTACAGTAGGGGGCACAGGTGGTGCATCAGCCAGTCATCTCGGTCATCTCGGTCAGTCGACCCGTGGCACCTGGGTCTGCCCCGTGACCTCCTGCCAGCGGGCGTTCGACACTTCACGTGGCCTCAAGGTGCACTTGGCCTGGCACAAGCATCGTGGTGACGTCACCGCCACTTAGTGGCGAATGGCGGTTGTTGTTGTTGTTGGTGTTGGTGGTGTTGGTGATGGTGTTGGTGGTGGTGTTGGTGTTGGTGGTGTTGGTGGTGGTGTTGGTGGTGTTGGTGTTGGTGGTGGTGGTAGTGGTGGTGGTGGTGTTGGTGTTGGTGGTGGTGTTGGTGGTGGTGGTGTTGGTGGTGGTGGTGTTGGTGGTGGTGGTGTTGGTGGTGGTGGTGTTGGTGGTGTTGGTGGTGGTGGTGTTGGCGTTGGTGGTGTTGGTGGTTGTGTTGGTGGTGGTGGTGGTGTTGGTGGTGTTGGTGGTGTTGCTGTTGGTGGTGGTATTAGTGGTGGTGTTGGTGGTGGTGTTGGTGGTGGTGTTGGTGGTGGTGTTGGTGGTGGTCTTGGTGGTGGTGTTGGTGGTGGTGGTGTTGGTGGTGTGGTGGTGTTGGTGGGTGGTGGTGTTGGTGTTGGTGGTGGTGGTGTTGGTGGTGGTGTTGGTGGTGTTGGTGGTGTGGTGGTGGTGTTGGTGGGTGGTGTTGGGGTGGTGGTGTTGGTGTTGGTGGTGGTGGTGGTGTTGGTGGTGTTGGTGTGGTGGTAGTGGTGTTGGTGGTGGTGTTGGTGGTGTTGCTGTTGGTGGTGGTGGTGTTGGTGGTTGTGTTGCTGTTGGTGGTTGTGGTGTTGGTGGTTGTGTTGCTGTTGGTGGTGGTGGTGTTGGTGGTGGTCTTGGTGGTGTTGTGGTGGTTGTGTTGCTGGTGTGGTGGTGGTGTTGTGGTTGTGTTGCTGTTGGTGGTGGTGGTGTTGGTGGTTGTGTTGCTGTTGGTGGTGGTGGTGTTGGTGGTCTGTTGCTGTTGTGTGGTGGTGTTGGTGGTGGTGTTGCTGTTGGTGGTGGTGGTGTTGGTGGTTGTGTTGCTGTTGGTGGTGGTGGTGTTGGTGGTGTGTTGCTGTTGGTGGTGGTGTGTTGGTGGTGGTGTTGCTGTTGGTGTTGGTGGTGGTGTTGCTGGTGGTGGTATTGGTGGTTGTGTTGCTGTGGGG